GTATGTATGTATATATACAAACATATATTAATATATATATATATATATATATATATATATATATATATATATATATATATATATATATATATATATATAAGAAAAACCCACAATGCACAAACTAGATTTATTGATGAAAGTGAGACATATACAATTAGGCAAGTTCCCCCTTCCATTCTCTATGAAGAACATGTGGGGGTGAAGAGTCTCGGACAGCACGTGTGTTTTGATCGTGAGGCGTGAGGTAAATATTCTATTTCCCCATCGGTATTGTGGGTAAATTTATAAGATGTAGGTATATTGCAGCTCAGGATTAATAATTAGACTTGTGAGAATTCTTACAGTGATGTGGTGATCGTGTGCTAAAGTAGAAGTGTGTTGAAATTGACACCATAGATATGTTTATGTTTATAAACATTATGTAGACTATTTTCTTGAGGATCCCATATCTTAACACTGCTGTTATTGTTTAAACATTTATAGCCAGCAATGAGTAGTTGCTGCATCCTTATGAAGTCATTCTAGCTGCTGCATGTGGCTGCCTATTAATTTAAAGTTTATATTGCATTAGATATTTTGCAACAAGAAGGCAATAGATGGTTGGTCAGGGGGTACAGGTCCAATGTCACACAGCTTCACTGGTAAAGGTCAAGTTTGGTAATTATGATTTTGGTATTGTTAGATTCCTTTCACTCATTTCTAAATATATAGAAATTATTGTGCAGAAACTCCCCATATTCTTGGCCCCAATAGCAGGGGAGGGCATGAAAAGTACCAGGGATGTTGTAGGGTGAAATGTAAATGCTATACACAGAATCAGTCACTATATTATCTAATCCAATATGCTACCCCCCAAAGGGGGTTACTGCCCCCATTCCCTGCCAAGGAAAATAAAGAATCCCCCACATATTCACAGCAAGCATGTGCATATCACTGCCATGCAGGAGCAGCATTGCCAAGTCAGTCCAATGCTCTCTCCTGCTGTGAATACATGGAGAATTAATTGTTTCCCTGGGGTTGCATATTGCATTAGACAATATAGTGACTGATTCTGTGTGTAGCATTTACATTTTACTCCCCAATTTCATGTTTCTACATCTTATTCCTATAACACTGATGGCTTACTCTTTGAAGTTATAGACTATCAACAAGTGAGGATTTATACCATATTGATAGATCATTCCCCGTTTTGTAAATTATGTGTATCACATGAAGATAACAAGAAATGATTATGAAAGAAGGGATTAATATATTAAGGTGACTGTTCCATTGAGGTGGAAGGGTGTATTAGTTTTATGGGTTTATATTGCTGAGTGATTCTCAACAGAATTTAGAATTTTTTTTTTTGTACAAAAATATCCAAAAACAAATTTAAATGAAATGAAATTTGTTTTGTTATGTTTAATAGTCATTAATGTAATCTTGAAGTGTAAATTGCCATTGATTTATTTGTAATAAGTTTTCATTGCATGAAGATATGATTCTTTTAAACATAAGAATGGAAGGAAGAGCATTGCTTTGCATTGGGAAAACTTGTAATTATTTGCATTGTTCAGTTAAGGTTCTCTATATGTTTTTGTTTTTTGTAAAAAATAAAGTTATTGGTTAAATTCCTTCATATTTTGGCAGTGAATAAATGATGCATTTGTCCACACAAGGTAAGTTTCTGATTAGCATCATCTCACAACTGTAAATGTGAGTGGTAGTGGTCATAGTATGATAGTATTTGCTCAACAGCAAGGGTGGATAAATAATTCTTTGCTAGTTCAATGATACCAAATGCACGATAAGTTGTCTTTAGTTAGTTTTTAAACTGTTCTTTATTTTCAGGATAATTGCAGCCGAGGCAGATATGGTGTCTCAGAAAAAGGAGAGGCAAGGCAAGGATTTAAAGCAAAAAAAGTGAGTGATGAATACAATTTTTTTTCTATTTGTTTTAATTGATTTTATATAACTTTAAAGTCAAGTGAGAGTGTAGATTTAAGGCCACTTTTACATGACAATCCATTGCAGCGTTTATTTTTAGTAAGGTCTTAACAATTTAAGCACTGAGTTCTTTTTGAGTTTAGTGAAGTGAATACCATTTTGGAATGGAATAAAACCTGCAAAATATTTTATTTATTTTCATCATAATCACTAAGTTCTTTTTGAGTTTAGTGAAGTGAATACCATTTTGGAATGGAATAATACCTGCAAAATATTTAATTATTTACATTGCAAGTGACATGAAAGTTTAAGGCAAGGATTTAAAAGAATGTCCTGCATTCGTTATTCAACAATTGAATAATTAATGGGCAATCAGATTCATTATACAACTCCTAGTAGGCTTTTACTTTATATATAGTTGATGAAAAGTGTTTGTGAGCAGTGAAAATCGGTTTACAAACAGAGTTACCCATATAATTCTTTAATAAGAATGATGAAAAATATTTAATTTTTTTCCTTATTTCTTTTTTTCTTTTCTTTTCCTTATGACGATTAATTAACTGGGAATTATTTTCCAGGTCACTAAAAAACTGTAATGGCTCTTCTCCCATTAAAGCCATGAAGGGAAATGCTAGGAATGGTATTTCTACTGATGACAAGGAAGCTAAGGTTGATGTTCAAGGACAAGATAAAGATATTGAGAGGATAGCAGGCAATGCCAATGAGACATCAAAGAAAAAGAAGAAAAAATCTTTGTGGACAACACCATCTCCAAAGAAGTTAGTAAAGATGTATAAGTGCTGAAGACAATATTCATCTGAAATATATTTAGAGTAGAAAACTAGAGAATAAATTCTTAACATATAATACTTTTCATATGTAGTAGAATGAATGGAGGATTTAGGTTATAATTTCCTTTTAAGATATCATTGCCTTCCCTACAGTATGTGTTTTTTATAAATATAACTTTTTTTTTTTTTTTTTTTTTTTTTTTTTTTTTTTTTCAGGAAACAAAAGACAGCTGCAACAGATTGTGAAGTGGAAGAACCGGATCAGAGCAAGGGTGAGGCCATTGGCAAAGATAACAGCTGTGACAGTGACTCTGAAGATGCTGAGAGAAAAATTATAACTGATGTAGACATGGAAGAACATTACAATGGTAAAGATGGAGAAATCACTGATACAGAAAAAGAGATAGAGGAAGGAAACCAACAGTGTTTAGGAAATTTAGTGACAGATAATATGTCAGATAATGAGTCAGAACCAAGTGAAATTTTAGAAGAGAGTTTAGATGCCAATGAAGGGGCAGATGAAGATGATGATCTGTTGCTTGATGATGATGATGTTGACTGGCCCAGTGATGATGAAAATGCAGATGAGGATGAAAATGCAGATGAGGATGAAAATGTAGATGAGGATGAAAATAAAGATAAAAGTACTGAAGTGAAAGAAATGAAACATGAAGCCCCAAAAGATGGAAAACTGTGGAAACTAAATAAGTGGAAAGAATATATGATGCACAATAGAAGAGAATTGGCCTGTAAACCCCTGTCAGTATACAGAGATGATGATGACACAATTCTGTTAGCTTTGGCACCGTATACTTCAGTGTACTTCCAAGGCATTGCTCGGGTCCACCTGATCGTTGGCAGTGTTAAAATTTCTGGTTATGAGTTGGAAGAGGGCGAGGAGCATACAGTTTATTCTTTATTATCTCATTCCCTTCTGGCTTTGGAAGCGAAAAAAGGAATTGACTTGTCTATAAAGAAGGACATACCAGGAGTTCCAAAGGATTGGATCAAAGAGCTCATGTCAGATGAGGTGAGATAACTTTTAACTAATTTGCTGTTAAGTTTTGTCATGTGGATTAGAAAGTTGACTCATCCTTAAACTTACTTCTGCTGGAACTAACCATTTATTTGTGCATTGTATCCAGGCATGTGATGGTATAGTTCATAATTATATAGAGCTAGCTTTTATATTATTAACTCATTTTTCACTTTTGCATATACTTACCAGCATATTTTTCTGTGACTTTTGTTACACAATGGCTCCACAACTGTGCTCAGCCACCAAGAAGTTGTTGAGCTGGTCATTTTTCAGAAGCTATTTAAAATATTATTATCATTATTGACATTATGATTATTATAAAGTTAAAATAATGGCAATAGACAAAAACTTATATATTTATATATATAGTTTTTTCTTTTTGGAAAATCAAGACAAAGGGTAAACAGCTAAGGTAGGTAAGAGGAGTAATTACAAATTGTAGACTATTTGGTACCTTTACAAAGCTAAAGAAAGGTTTTGATATTTCAGATCAAAGAGGTGATCATTGTCAAGATGACACATCATTTTCCACCGATGGCAAAGCTGCTCTATGTGGCTGGCTGGAGAGACTTGGTTGATCGAGCAAAAGACCCAACTTATGGGCTGAAAAGTCTTCATCTGATCAGTAGAGGCAGCAGTAGGAGGTATCCACTGTACCAGGAGGCACCAGAATGGGACGCTGCATTGGAAAATATCAAGTCCAGTTATAGGAGGGGAAAAAGTAAGATCTTTTTTTTTTTCTTCTTCTCTTCTTCTTGTCTCTCTCTCTTCCTCATATTTTTCTTTTTCTACTACTTCTTTTCCTTTTTCTTCTAATTCTGCTCCTATTTTTTCTTTTTCTGCTTCTTTTTTCTTCTGCTTTTTCTCTTTTTTCTACATTAGCTTTCTTATCTTCTTTTTCTCGTACTTTCTCCTCATCTCTTTCTTCTTTTTCGACTTCCCTTTCTCATCTTTTCTATTTCTTTTTTATTTCTACTACATTCTTCATCATCTTTTTCTTCCTATCCCAGCTTTTATCCCTTTAGTAACAGATACAGCTGCCATGACATATTGTTGTCGGACTTATATATGCGTTATGACTCACTCTAGTGAGCAAGCGGTTGCCCAGCTGTACACAGAACATGCCTTGCCAGACGGGGTAGACTGTTGTGGCGTAATAATTACATCACAGAAAATTCTGGCCACATCATGATTGGGTTTAACTGCGAATTACTTTTATTACCAACTCATATATTGATCCTTTTATTTAACGATAGTACTGCTCAATAATGATACTGTGAAAACTGCTCATCATTTTCTTCAATATAAAATGAAGTTTTCTCTTTCTTATTGGATTTTTTTTCAGCCTTCCTTTTCATGAAACCAAAATACTGTAAGTGACTCTTCTTTATTTTCCTTTTTTTTCCCCCTCCAGTGCCTTGCATCGTTGTGGCTGGTGGACAAAAAGTGGGGAAATCAACCTTCTTTAGGTATCTAGTCAACAGTTTACTAAGTATGCAGCGAAGTAAAGGCGTCCTTTGCTTGGACTTTGATCCTGGTCAGACAGAATTGTCACTGCCAACTTGTTTGACATTCTTGCATGTCAAGTCTCCTCTGTTGGGTCCTCCATATACACACTTGACTGTGGGTTCCAATGACAGTTGCAAGCAAATCCTCATAGGTACCAGCACACCACAATTTGTTCTGCAGAAATACTTGAATGCAGTCCAGTCCCTTTCTACTTTCAGCCGTAACTATGAGAGTCTTCCAATGGTGATTAACACTATGGGTTGGTCAAATGGAACAGGTATTGACCTCATCTTGGATGTGATAAGGATAACACAGCCTACACACGTGATCCAGATCTGTAGCGAAAAGAGGCAATTCAACTACCCCTTCTTCTTGAACAGTGAGACAGTTGAAGGCCATAGAGGAGGCATTGCCACAAAACCTGGGTCTTCCTATCTTGAACATCAGATGATCCCTCTCCGCTCAGTATCTGTGTTGAAACTGAGTATGTGTAATTCTAGCAGTCTCCGAGAAATATCAGTTTTATCCTACTTCAGTAAAATTATCAGTCAGGAAGGCAAGAACGAAAAGAGTTCCATGAAAGGTATAGTGAAAATAAAGTGGTGTGATGTTGTCCTCCATGTTTTTAGTACTGAAGTACCCAGAGAGAAAATTTTGCAGGCCCTCAATGCGTCCTTAGTTACACTGTGTAAAGTCGATCCCAATGACATTGAGACTGTTGGTCCATATTATCCAAAGCAGCTTGTTCAAGATGCAGATTTTAAGGACATTATTGGATGGGGCATTGTCAGAGGCATTGATCCACTCGCACAAGAATTGTATGTTCTGACGGACTTGAGTGAAGAAACGGTTGCTTCTTCAGTTAACGCCATCATCATGCCGGATTTATACCTGCCCACTCATTCATATACATTATTTGCAGAAAGTAAGTGTATCTCACTGGTATTTGTTGTTTGTATATAGACTAAATATTTTCATTTGTCTAGAATTTTAAAAAAATAGATTGTCAAAGTTAGAAATTTAGATGTAGTTAGTATACATATTTTTGATATTTTGTCCTGAACACACTTCATGTTAATATTTTCTAAAGCAAATGGACTAGTGATTCCTTTGATAGCATGACGGACAAACACGATTATATTCTTAAGTCATTGTTTCCGGAACATGTACTGTGGACTGTTGTTTTATTTTAAGATTTGTTTACACATCAGTGGCTCCACAACTACTCAACTACGAAGGGGTCAATTAGTTACCCTACATGACCTCACTTGATTTCTGCTTTCCTTGAGTTTTCAGGATTTTTTTTTTTTTTTTTCCCCCATTAATATTGATGCAATTATTATTATTGACACTATGATTATTATAGTGATATTGACAATAGAAGTAGCAACACTTTTTTTTTAATCAGGCTAAAAATCAAGGTAAAGGGTGAGATAGATAGGACTTGTAATTAATTCCAGGTGACTTAGCACTTGTGGAGCTGTAGATGTGAACATAGTGTGTATTTTTTCTTTCCAGCATCAGTGGTTTTAATGATGTGTAATCATTTTAAAATATCTTTAATTTTTCATCAGATTCTAAGGAAGCACCTTACATGGAGCAGCCAAGGAAAGAAGACCGAGTAGAACTTGTCAAAGACCGTGTGAAAAAGCGGTCGAAGTATTCAGTACGAAATATGGAACGTTAAGGAAAGACGTTACCATATTCTTGTTGAGATAAAGTGGTTATACTGGTATATAATTTGTATAATGTACTGTTATATAATGTATGTGGATCTTCAGTATGAAACTAATATATTGAATTTTGTTGAATGTACAGTTATTATCTTATATATATTTTGTATATATAGATGCAGGACAGATAAAACATGTAATTGTTGTAAATTTTATATTTCATCCACTTTTTTTCGTTTTTGTACCCCAAAATTGAGGAAATGGTACAAAGCTTCAAAGCTTACCATTTTTCTTAGATAATGAGACCTGTATGTAATGTTCATATTTACATGATATGCATATATTATTATCAACTATAAGGAAGTTTTGACTTAGCTGATTGGACAATATTTCTTACTCTGATCGTCGTAGGTTTATGCTAAAACTATTCTTGAAAATTAATAATGATGATTGATCCAATAGCTGCAATAACAAGCATTTAACTAACATAAAACAATGATGTGATTTTAAAAAATTAGTTGGATGTTGCTACTATATATACAACTATACTGGTAAGATCTCATACTGAGGTATTTGTTCTTCTTATTACCCCCACCCCCTATGTAAGTGTATTGAGAAATGAGATACTTTTGATAATAGTTTTTAATTGAGAGGATGCATAACAATGCAAGAATATTTAGCAATGATATATCGCTATAGATAAATTGTGATTTTGAATTTTTTCTCCATTTTTGCCCTGCGTGGAGCAAAAAGTGGTGAAGTGCCTGAGATTTATGCAATGTTTGTGGGTACAAGTGAATAGTTTGGTTGTTGAGGGGGCCTCAATCTAACAAGGTCTTGTCACCTTGGTTCTCAAATTCAGGAGTGCACACTTGTTCAGGATTGCATCAAGGTGCTTTTATATGATGTCAGGGGTTCGCTACCAAAATATATACACTTATTTCGACCTTGTTCAGTACTACATATCTTTCAAGATGTCAGTGTTTGTGGTGGCTAGTTGCTAAGCAAAAGAACAACCCATTCATGTTATTTGATATAGGCAACCAAAAGACACTGAAATTTTGAAATGCGAAAATTACACAACTATACACACCTTCCCTACTACAGAAATCTCTCCATAACATGAAGATCTGGAATACAAACACACTGTCTTACTGCCCTACACCTTCAACAAATGATGTAAACAAGATTGATTTCATCACACCCTCATCTACCAGCACACACTTTGAAGGATAAAAGACTGTGATTGATTTGACATTACATTGCTTAGCTTCTTATTGTGGAATAGCAGTGATAACAGTGATAATAAATAATGACCAAAAAGATAATGACTGTAGTAAGAAATTATATCAATACTAATGTTTACACACAAACCCAAAGTCTATATAGAATATATACTGTTAAGTATATACTGTTAAAAAGGAGACCAACATAGAATATTTACATACAAAGAGTATATGGAGATAAAATCCAAGGATGTACATCCTTCGAGCAAGGATGTACATCCTTGCTCGCTGTTGTCATGGGGGGCTTAGGAGACAGAGACTGGGGCTCAATGTATGGGATCAGCCCTATCATGGGCCACAGCCCTCGCCTCAACTAATTTTGCATGGTCTTTTCTTCTCTCCCTTTCCTCTTCCGTATCATCTTCATCTCCTTATTCCAAAACAGTCCTTCACTCTGTTCCCCCCCATCTTCACAAGTTGTTTCTGCATCTCCCCCAGTATATCTTTCTTATACCCTAAACCATCCTACCTTTACTCCCCCAATCCCCTAGTCAAATTCGTTTTCCATTCTAAATCCAGATACTCCAGTCTCTACCACTTCCCTGATACCTACCACTCCCCCTCACTTTATTTGCCATATCAGGCAACCTAAACTTTCCACTCCACCCTCTCCACCTACATCCTCTCCTACACATTCCTCTTCATTTATCTATCTCCTCTTCTCCTCTTCATAAGAGAACCTTTATTTCTCAGTCCTCTTCACCCAACTCCCCTCCAGAAACCCTTGAAGACATCCAAAACTTCGTTAAGATGACCCAAGAGAACACCGCTCCCTCATCCACCCTCCATTCCCACTGCTTCTACTCCTTCTACATATAAAGTATTTGCCAATATCCATCCTCCTCCTCCTCAAGTTTCCCCCATCCTCCTACCTTCTATACCCTCCCAACGTACCCCATGCTCTTTACCTCTCTCACCTGAATGCATACACGAATCCCTTGTGACGACAGTGTCCTTCTCTAGACCCTTCCCCTCCAGACATTCTTCCTGAAACTTCATCATCTTTCCCAGTCCCCTTTTCTCATCCCTGGATTCTTCTCCTCCTACTCCTTCAACAGCCACCTCAGTTTTCCTTGGAAGAATGTCCGCATTCCTTCCCCAATCACAGATACACTGCAATTCACTGAATCGCTCTACTCCCTTAACCCTTCTCATTTACTAATCTCTGCTGTACTTCACTTGCTCCCCTCTCTTCCCTTTTCACAACCATACTATCCTATAATGTTCTCTAATTTTTGACATCTTAAACCCCCCCACACATTCTCCTCCTCTTGCTTCTCCAACAGCCATCTCTTTTCCTTGAATATTCCTTCTCGGGTCACAGATACGCTGCAATTCACTCAATCGCCCTACCCCCTAACCTTTCCCTTTCTACTAATCTCTGCTCTACTTCACTTGCTCCCCTCTTTTCCTTTTTCATATATCATACTATCCTATTTTGCGCTCCAATCTTTGACATCTAACATATATTATCCTTATCATTAACTCCTCCTTACCTTTTTTGCCACAATACTTTGCCATAGTGCTATATGACCTTTGCTGTCTAGCATATTTATTTGATTCAGTAATTAACCATCCAACATAGCATAATAGTGTTCTGCTTTCAAAGCCCATTCTCACTGGAACTCTGGTACTAATGAGGCCATACCCTTATCAGCCAAAGCTACAGAGAATGGCAAACCTAAAAGACCTTGCTGAAATTAATCCAGTCTGCTTAGGTTCACATGGGTCTGTGGGTTCAATCAAATCTTACCAGCAGAAATGATCGAACTGCAGACACGCCACCAGCCTTCCCGTCCTCTGACCCGCCTCATGTCAGTTAAACCTAACACACACGCTACTGGTCTGACTTGTCCTCTAATCCCCACTAATTATTAGTTAAGGAAATAATAATTCGGAGTTATGATATACAGCCACTTTGAAGATAGATAAATGTATTTCAGTAGGGTAGACAAATATGCTGTATATATGCATGTCCTTATATATGAATATTCATTGGATCGGGCATTGTACAATTTTAACAAACCGGCCTATTGTCTACAGCAATGTCAAAACTAATATGATTTCAACTCTGGGATTTTTCTATGCTCTTTTTATGTAGTTAAAAAACAAACAGATTATATAGATAGAAATAAAAAAAATATATGTACGAATTGTCAAGAATGACAGGGAAAATTCTCTCTTGATTATTTAAATATATTAAATAATTAAAATTGGTAATAAATAGCTAAATATACTGAGAGTTAAAGCATCCCAAAATACAATTGACTAGTGCTTTACTGCCGTGCCATTAACCATAATTGATTATTTTGCCCTTTAAAAAGGATGCAAATATGGAATCCCATTTTCTACTAATTCGCCAGGGTCCCTCTACTTCCCCTGTAAGTCCCATTTATCTGTATCGCCCCCCTACACCTGAACTTTACGGTAAGGGCAAATGAGACCTATTTGGACCTTGGACTGAATGTGTACACACAAAGTCTAAATAGATAATGGGCACATTTTTGACAGGAATGAACATGTATAAAGATTTTTCAAGAAATGTAATATCTTTCCATCATAAATGCTCATACTGCCTTCTAGCATGTCCATTTAACATGTACTAATTGCCTTTGTGTTGTCATAACCTGACCTTAACAGTGCCTACAGTATTGATTACTATATTGCCATTATTGACTAGTAATTTGAAAAACCTACCTTGAAATAAGTGTGAACCCAAAAAGAAGTTAATTTCAATCGTTCGCTTTACACAATACAAAATCATATCAAAAGCCTCATTTACATTAGCTTATTCCAAACAAACAACTATGGACAACCTGCCCGGCTATGACTGGCTCAGACACCAGCGTATGATCAATATAACACTGTCCGGATATATGAGCCAGTGATGGGCTGCAAGATATAGAAAATATCCGAAGCAGTGACGTGCAGAGGTCCGGTGATGTATGGAACCAGGTATTACAATGCTGTTTTCTTCATTCGCCATCAGTCTTTGCTTACAATTATTTTATGAATTTTACGGATTTTATTAAAAGAATATTACGAATATTCCATATATTAAATAGATTATGCCTTTAGCGCACTAGCATATAAAAAGACGAATGTGTCACGTATTATTATACAAATTTTTCTATTCAATTAACCTCATATGGGGGATATCGTGAACTATAGTTCTACCATTCTCTGCGATTTTCTGATTCAAGGTGCACCAATCTGTTATTTTGTTTACCTGAATGTAATCTTAGTGCTATTTTACAATTTGCGAGATATGTCCGGTTATTTGTTGTAAATATTAAGCAGGCCTATTTTGCAGTATCTTTTGAACTAGAAAACTCAAAACTTACTATCTAAAATTTGAATAGACCATTGAAAACATTTGCTTATGCTATAATGCCTGGTTGCCCAACAGCTTCACGTTAGCATAGTACTTTGAAATCTGGCCACCAGACCAGAGAGTAATATACTATATACATGTAGGAGAATTTGAGAGTTAAGGAAGTTAATAATGCATATATATATACATATGTGTACATATATTTATATATGTATATATACAGTTTGACAAAGAAAAATCAGGCCATCGATAATCCGGTTCCTTCAGTTTTCCGGCATTTATTTCAAAGCGCATTTTTCGAATTCACCGCATGGGCGCGCCTCTTTTCTGGAGTCTCCATTTATGCTTTGCTTGCTATGTACTCCGGTAGCAGTTTTGGGGTCTTGCATGTACCATCAGGCATTCCTGATCATTTCTCCTTTCATTTTTTTCTTTGCTGCATTTTCGAACACTCCTCAGGTCCGGAGGTTACCGGATCTTTGAATGTCAACCTGTATACATATACATATTTAAACATGTATATATCATATATATGTGTATATATATATATCATATATATGTATATATATATATATATATATATATATATATATTATATATATATATATATATATATATATGTATATATATGTATATATACATATATGTATATATATATATATATATATATATATATATATACATGTGTGTGTGTATATATATATATGTATATATATATATATATATATATATATATATATATATATATATATATATGTATGTATATATTATATGTACATGATATTAAATTTTTAAAATTGTAAACTGATATGCAAAGAGTGCAAATATTGCGTCAACACTTCCCACGGTGCACAACAGGAAATGTTCTTCTCACTCTTCTAGAACATTTTGAGACATGAGGAATAGGGGTGGAATTTCCTATAAATTACTGCGCACAAACAA